CCCAACCTGGAGCAGTGGAGAGCCCTTTGCTCCAAGGTACCCGACCCAAGACACACAATGAACCGGTTTCCACTGGTTAGTAACGGAAAACAGCCAACTCAGGGTGCCATTCGACCCGGGTCCATCTTAGTTTCCGGGAGTGTAAGTCAAAATAGTCATGTCAAGGGTTCAGCATCACATGAGCCTGAAAGCCTCGTTCAGACCGGGTCTTTACACGGGTGGAATGCCCCACTACAGTGATCCAAATAGCAAAGCAATCTGGATCGGTCCGATGTTGAATGGGACGCTGACCTGTGCCACGTACACTTGCGGAACTGGCTTCGACGGGTTCCTCTCTCTCTCTCTCTCTGACCTGTCGTCGCCACCTAGCCAATCCCCAGCCTGCGAAGAAAAGAAGATGCACCTGGCAGCCATGGCCACTCTCGAGATACTTACATAGATACCCCTTCATGAATCATGAATGACCACATCTGAAATGTGACTGAAACGGCTCTGCTGACCTGCACAAACCTTGTTGAACAAGAAGGACACCGGCACCAGGAATTCCCAAGAATGCATTGTTTATCCTTGTTGGCTTCCCTGTGCCGACGCCCACATGTTGATGGCTCTTCCCTCTCGGTGTGACACCTTCATGCGGTGACATAAGGCCGTTCAAAGCGGCCCGCTGAAGTAAGCAAAGCCTCAGGTGCGACCGAGTTGTGTCCTCCTTCACGAGGTGATCTCCACCTCTTCGCATCCCAGCCCTGTGAAGAGGCCCTCTCTCCGGTCCAAATAGACTGTTCACACCTTGCTGAACGTCCCCTCCCATCTCGAATTCTCCGAACGTCAGCCGTTCTTCCTTAAAACATACTGAAACACATGAAACACTGAAAGACACTGAAAGAAAATCAAACAAATCCTATGCCTTCAGGCACGGGGCGCAACGAGCGGCCAATTCAGGGTGAGGAGTCTACTCCCGGCGCTGCAAGAAATTTGGATCCCCAGCAAGTGTTGGTACTCGATGGCTGTCCGCTCTAACGACTGGTCCTGGTGAAAAGAGCGGATCAGGAAGAGAGACTTAGATGATTGGCCATTATCGTGGGTTGGAGCCCATGTTCATTTCCATGTGGCACAGGTCTCACAGGGGGGGCAATCATCCTACTGACTGGCTTGAGAAACACCATCCAGAATGACTCTTCGGCCTTCACAACTATTGAAATGCAGCCCGCCGTCTTTGCTCTAGGATAACAAAAGTCCGTTTGGAGCATTTAGCGCTCGTACATTGGCGGCATTTCTCAACGACAACATTCTTGGCTCAATCCCAAGGAGTAGTGGTGTTTACAGGATTTGCAAACGGCATTCTCGGGATTTGAGCCAAGCGTCTCCAAAAAAATATATGATGAAAATGTCTATATGTATCCCCAAGCAGGATATATATGGATATCTGATGATATCTGGCATGCCTTTCTTGGTGTAGAAGGATAGGGTAGGCCATCATTGAGATCTTAGAAAGCATTGCTGGCCGGATCTCTCTCTCGTCGATCCGCCTTGGAGTGATGTGTGCCCCCTTCCTGGTGTGGAGGGTGTGGAGGGCGCGGAGGGCTTCCAGTGACCGGAGGGAGGAACTGCAAGGGACAAACGTCCAAAACTCCTTGACAACCTGATTAACCTCAGAAACTCTTCTGAGTTTTAGAGTGATGGTATATGATTCTTGCATGGAACATGTCTGTTCTTGAGGCCAAACAAGCCAGGCGCCGCAAAAGCAGGCTGACCTCACAGTGCTTCTTTTGCGCGCGCGCCTCTCTCTCTCTCTCTCTCTCTGTCTCTCTCTCTCTCTCTCGCCCCAGGCAGTGGGTAGCTCTGGGTGACTTGGGTGGAGGCATACAACCTATTGCTCTAAACATGCGTTTGGGTGGATGTATGACGAGAATTCACATCTACGCTGGATGTCGCCAAACTTGGGGATGGCTGATTTCATGCAGAGTGGGTGGGTAGGCTTTTGCTACTGCCACACCTGACTGTCACCAAATTTCCAGGAAGTGTTCGATCTTGTTGCAGCACGTGCCTCCCCTTGAGCCTCCCCTTGCTTCCCCTTGACTCTGCAAGTGTCCGATTTTACTGTAGACACGCCGAGTAGCAGCGTGTTTGGAGGTGATGGGCAACTGCCGAAGTAGCAGCGCCCAAGATCGTGTGATGAAACACGCGCCGCAGAACAGGGATTCCAACTCCTTGCGCTCTGCATCTGAGCAGTGCACGTGGAGTTGCAGGATGTCGAAAGCTGAAAGACCGGCATCCTCTTACGACTTCAAAACTAAGTTTACAAACACGGGCATGACATGTGCAATCTACTCAATCTATTTCCCATAGTCTTGATGTCCCGAAGCCAATGAGCAATTCTGAGATGTCAATTCCTGCAACAAATATGTCATTGAGTCATGAAGCAAAGTCGTTGCTGGTGGCAATTTGCCTCTGCCTCCTACAAATCAATGGTTTTGCTGTACTCTGTACCATGTGTCGACTGCAGCCTACAACCGGAAGAGCCTTCCCCAAAGGACGCGTGGTTGGCCAGTGACCAGTGATTTTGTCTTGACATGCTTCGGCTTCCTTAGCAGCCACTTTTACACAATGCTTGAACATAGGGCATGAGCTCAATTTGTCCGGTAAGTTTGGACTGGACTGGCATAAAGAATAAGAGAGATTGGAAAGCCGGGTCCAAGATCTGGTTGTGGCCCGGAACGGTGCCTTGGACATGAATCAGCCCGGTGCAGGGGAAATATTATGCTCCTGACATGCCAAGGACAGTGATGCAATCCCTGTTCTGTTTCCAGCTTGTCTGCCTTATACCAGTGGTACCGTCCGACAAAAGCTGTTTTATTTTAGGTTGGTTGATCTTTGAAGTGAGGAAGCCCAAGTGCCATCATGCAATTCATCAAGAACGAATTGCCATGCCAGAAGAATGTCTATGTCATAGATGCGAAGTGTGCTAAAACCCATCATCCACTAACCAATGCACTTCAGCAAACAACATCTCTCCACACCTGCGCAGAATGGGGTAGGCTCGGAAAAAGCGGGGGTAGCTACAGTCCTGTACGTTGCTCAATCTATGCAAGTTGTCGCCAGGACCGCACTGCTTCCCAGAAACATGATCAATATATTCTACCTACAGTACCTGAGTGACCCCTTTCTTTGATCACCAAAGCACCCCCCCAAAAGGTCCAGCCTCATTCCATCCAATCAGGGGTGAGATTGGCTCTATGTGTGTTCAATGGTAATCAATACCACGCATATCTTCGGAATCACAAGCCTCCGGTAGCCTTCCGATCAGCTCAACCCTCCGATCGAACTGTGGAACAATGTGGGTTCCCATCTGTTCAGAAATGTACAGTAGCCAGAAGTAGCTGCGGTGCCCAATGACAATGCCAATCCCAATCAAAAGGATATTATATAACACTGTAGCCAGGACAATGGAATCTAGATGCATACAAATGCCTGGAAGACCACCAATCTCCACTGGACGTGAGTGGGCTCTACACATGTGGGGGTGGAGCAGTACTGCGCCCGTCGGACAAAGCGTGAATTCCGGAGTCTCTGCCATCCCTTCGGGAGACAAACCAACCGAAACAGCATGAAACAGCCCTGACATGGCCCCTTTTCGATGCTCAGCCATTGGGGGAGCTCTAGGTGCATGGGGAACTTAGTCATTAGTGGCTCTCAGGGTAAAGGTATGAACCACATCTTTATCATCTTTTCAGTTCACGATTCAAGGCCTGCCAATTCAAATATTGGTGCTACCTTCGGCAGCCCGCTCCCTGGCCTATCCAACAAAACACATCGAACGTGGCAAACAATCCATGCGCTTCATGGCATGAGCCTGGCACTGGTTTACACTAGCTACATTTAAATGAATACGGATATGTCACATGGAAGGATAATTACTGTAGTATGTTTCCTGGGAAGGCGATGTGTCTGTACAATCTGTACTTTTTCCAGCGAGCCAGAGTGCATAGCAATTGCTTCACCCTATTTTGTAGATACGTCCCAAAACACACGAAGCTTCACCTAGCGGTCACCAGCGGATTCCTGACTTCGATGTCTAAACTAATCGACACTGAGCCCTTGAGATACAAATTCCAGTTCCATCAGGCTGGGGAGCATCAAACGTAAATCATCGCAGTCATACAAAAAATGCATACCCTTGAGCTTGGTATGCATAAGTTGATCTGTATTCAACATGCAGCTTCTTCTTACCATCAGCCTCAAACATCAAACACTTTCTTGGCTGGTTGAAATCGCATCAGATCCGTGGCCAGCACGATCTTCACTCAAGCAGCAGCCAGCCCTTCATTTGGGCCTTCTGCAAGCAAGATTCTCAAAGTCAAGCATGTGGTATTGACAAAACAGGCCCCCAGCAACAAATGACTCTTCTACTGGGTAACTGTACGAAAACGATGAATCAGTATAGAATTGCTATAAGTACGACTCTCAAGTGGTGAAATATTGTTTTATCGTCAACAGAGACATCTCATGACAAGCGCATCGTGCTCGGCTGCAAACTGCCGAAATGGCCACATAGAGTCATACACTGCATGGGGCTCCCTGTGCATGTGAGCCCCGTGCAACCCCGGCACGAGTCGACCGGCCGGATGACACGCGCTTGGTTGGCAAAACCCACCAGCGAAGTGATGGGATGAGGGTTCACACAAGCTCTCAAAGCTCTCAAAGCTCCTGCGGTGTTTCACACAAGATCAATCGAAAGGAAGTTGCCCGGATGGGGATGAGGGCATTAAAAGCTACTTATATGGCTTATTGTTGGGAGCAGCAAAGCAGCATTGCATTTGCATTTGTTATCTCTCTTGCTCTTTCCCTCTCTGATGCAGTGGCCGTGGTTTTAAGATGTTTTAAGGTTTTTGAGCATCTTCTGATCTCAACGCGCAGCGCCAGGCAAAGCAAACTCCAACCTCAACCTGGAAGACATCTGGTTTTTCATGCATCTATTTTGCTCATTGAGATTCTGGGTTTCACCATGTTTCATCAGTTTCTTGGTCCCCTCCTTCCCTAGCCCTCCGCGCCGGAGCGGCTTCTTAGAAGCCAGGGAAAATCCGGCGACCGCGGATGGAAGATTTGGGGTGCGCGACAAAGACGCACCAAAGACACTCGCAGCAAGGTCTTTGCATCTCAAAGGTCGAGGACGTCCAACAACCTCAAGCAGCGCTGGCGGTGCCATCGGCTGATCTAAGGAGATGTTTCGTGATGTTTTGACCCTGGCTCCAAAATGGAAGGGTTGGTCGAGGAGTGTTGGATGTAAATGAGTTCAAGAGAGTTCAAGACTCAAGAAAAAAGGACTGAGCCAGTCTTGAAATAGTAGTCAGAGTCCAGGATGGCCATGGCTCTATCACCGATGTGCTCCACCAGTGCCAAATGAAGTACAAAGGTCCATTCGCTCAACGGGCTCCCCAGCGTGTCGACGCTGCTCTCCAGGTCGGTGGTGGCATCGTTGGCCGAAGTGGCCTCCATGTCCTCCTCGCCCTTGGGCTTTGGAATCCTGAGACCGTGACTAAGATACTTTAAGGCCGGGTTCCGGAACTTCAAGAAAAGACGGCCTGTTTCACCTTGGAGATCCTGAGGGCATGGACCAACAGCTTGGCAACAGGTACACGTGCTCACCTGGAATGCCTAGGTGGGGTCCATCCACCCTTCACCCATTGGATTCGAAATGATTAGCTGAAACCCGCACGAAGGATTCTTATCGCTCAACGGGGTCACTTTAGAGTCGCAGGTGTTGGTCGACGTGCTCCTCTACAATTGTACTGGGTGGCAAGAATGCTTTTGACTGCACTCTAATAAATAACGAATATGTATATCTACATAGAATCATATAGACACACACACACACATATATATATATACAGTACACATTGTACATATACAGTAAGTCCTTTTTCTGATGCAGCGCGGCATGACATTTAATCCTCATTGAGGCCTCTGTAGATCTTGAGTCCTTCAATCATGCCCGAAACTGAAACCACTTGTGCTGCGCTTGGCGGAGACAGTGTAGAGTTCAAACATGTGAGGAAGTAGAAACCAGAAGGCCTCTAGGGATCAGGATAGATTTTACAAGCTGGCAATCAATGAAGGACTAATGTTACAAAAGCACCAACCTGCTCAGAAGCTATAAGCGCTTCTTAAACGTACTCTGCCAGCATCCGAAGAGCATAGAGAGTCTGTCGTTCAAGCACACTTGTCACTCTTCAAACCAATGAAGTATCCAACTGAACTTAGACTGGACAGGGGCTTCTGCTGGGGCCTTTCCGACCTGGAAACTGATCAACTGATTCATCAAACGGTTCCACCTCCTGTGCTCCCAGCCAGGCAGCAGTTTTTCTGGTCGCTCCCAATACATCGATCCAGGTGGAACCGGGTGGTCCATCGGCAGGTAGTTGGTGACCTGTGCCAAGGTGCACGGGACGTCCGAATGGATCGGTTCATCGGGGGATCTTGGTTTGGTCTTTCCTCGGTCTCCTTTCACGTGGGATGGGTGATGTTTGGGGTGTTGAGAACGGTTGGGATTCTGTTGCCTCTCTTCCCTCTGGTCTATCAAGAGCATAGTGGCACTGCCTCACAAAGGCCGCATCTCTGACAAGTATATAGATCCCTGACAATCCTTGGTCAACAATTTCATAGGATCTCCATTACCAGGATCACTCACAGAAATGCGCCCTCAGTAGAAAACGTTCTTGATTGGCCGCCAACTATCTTTGTGAACTCTGAGAATCATCATTCTGATCTGCTGAATGCTCAATCAGCACCTATAGCTAGCCTACAATGATCCACGCACCTGACATCGCTTGCATCAAACTTGCATTCACCTGCCTCATACCAGCCCTGCGGCCTGCTCCAACAAACATCGGCTGCTTGCTTCACACCCAGGCCTGCTTCGACGGCACAGGTGGCTTCTCACATCCGGCGCTCTGCTTCAAGAAGGTGGAGGCCTTCTTGCTGCGGTCAAACCACCCATGCACCTTCCAGCGGGGCGGGCCACGGTGCGGGTTCGGCGACGGCTGCGCGGGCGTTGGAGGCGCCGAGGTCCCGCGGAGTCTGAGGGAGCCGTTCATGGCTGCCGGAAGGAAGCAACTTTTAAGAAGAAATTAGGATATGATAGGATATGAGTCATGAGGTCAAACCAAACATCGCCCATTCCAAGTGCTCTCTCAAAACGTTGAAGTTGGACATGTCCGCAATGTCGTTTCCTTTCCAACCTTCTTTTCCGTTTTTTTGCGTCACCTGGATGGATCCACCACCCAACCCCTCCGACCTTCTCCAAATGGGTGCAAATCTGGCTCCGGGCCGAGCTCTCTGGCAGCGACTTGTGCGAGATGTTCACGTCCTTGGAGCGACGCGACGCCGCAGGAGTGCCGCGGCGTCGCGTGAGCCAAGCATTCCCAAGTCGGGACAGGGAGAGCCCAACAAACATGAAGAACATCTGGGTTTGAACACTGTGGGTCTGGAAAGTTGGTTTGAACATTTTAGGAATACCTTTGAACAAGGCTGACCTCTAGGACACCCCAAGGTGTTCTTTTTTCTTCCGGTGTGCTTGTCTGGTCTCTGGTACCTCCCGTTAAATTTCAAGCCTGAAACCTCATCATCCAACCTGGACATGTGCATTGCATCATCTCTCGCACTCCGCCTAGTCACCTAGCCGGGCAGAATTCTCCCTGCGACCAACCCAGAATGATATGACAATGAAAATGATATACGTTGGATCCATCCTATTACCTGTAACAGTGAATGATTACGGTTAGTAAAGGCCTTCTTCAAAAATGATGATAACTGCTTACCGACTGTTACAGGTAAGAACGGACAGACCCATGCCAATATACGGTACGTCTTCCAATGACTCAGGCTACGGCCACCATCAACCGCCGCAGCCAGCGATCCACTTGCCGGTCATAGCCCTTCGCGGCCTAAGCCACCGACGCAGGGCGCGGGGCTGGGAGTTTTCCGTGTCTCACCGGGCGTTTCTGTGGGAGGAGCTACAAAGGAGCATCATACTACGCAAACCTAGAAGCTCCTAAAGCCATACAGCCAGATTCACACGCCGGCGTCTGACATCTTATTCTAAGACCGGCACTTGTTTTTAGAACATTTTAGAACATCCTCGCTCTCTGCTTCGTGCGAAATCCCCTTGGGTCGGCACCTCGGTGTCATGCCTTTCGTGCAGGTTGGGCATGGAGAGGTTCTTCGGCAAAGGAGGCGTCCGCGCTCGGCGCGCACCCAGCCCCTCGGCCTCCTTCAAAGCGCGGTCGATGAACATCTTAGGAGCCCCATCGGCAAAGAGGGAAACATGATGGTTTGCCCACACACTGGCTGATTAGCCGTAAAAGGAGACGATCTGAACACATGCACCAGGGGTTTACGCTGGCTCTTAAGGGCATCCGCTCCATGATCCACCTTAAACTCCCCCAATTCGTCACAGGAAGCTACAACTGGAGGGTCGACTGCAAAGGACTACTTCGATCCATGAAAAGAATTCCAATGGATTTTTTTGAGGTGTGCATCTCTAGGAGTCAAGCAAACAATCAATTTAATCAATCAAACAAACAAAAACAACGAACAACGACACCATCAACGAACAACAGAACCCAAAGAAACAACAGTATCAGTCGAAATACTCATTTTCCACTTGGATCGATTCACATGGAAGTGGACAAATCCCCTTTGTCGAGGAAAACGTCTTCCAAGGATTTCCAAGGGATCATTATCCACTTCCATGTTAGTGAGTCAGCGGCGCTGAAGTAAACCTCCGGACTCCTAAACTCCACCTACACAAGTAACTTCATACCATGAGACTAACATAGATTAGGCACCTCTAGATAGATAGTTCGACTAGTCCCTACATGTTGATCTCTGCGGCCGCGATCTTGATTCACTCACCATCCACTATGGGTATGTTATGGTATGTTGGTGGGGAATGGCCTGCTAGTCAGACTCGTGCGACTTGTAGGGAATGAGGGAATGAACCACCCTGTAAATACCTCACGATCCAGCCTAGGTCCTTACTTTCGTCGCACCAGTCAGTGCCATCACCTCCACCCCAGCCGGACGCCCCCGCTCCTCCAGCGAGTGCTCCGGCGTGCGCCGCGCCAAGCGACGGCTCTGCTGCTCCGAGGTCTCGAGCCCTTCCGCTCCTTGGTGTGGTGTTCGGGCCACGGGAGGTATCACCCTCTCAATCAGAGTGGTGTATTGTTTGGCGTAAGAAGGATACAACTAAGTTGTATATCCAGTCTCCTTGTGACGACGTGTCAAATTCTGGTAAAATGGTCATGTCCAGAATGTTCGAGTCATCTTTGGAGGCATCTGCAAGCTTCTTTGGAAGCTTCAGCTGCTGGGCATAGGAATACCATTTTGCTTTCGTGGCTACGGTGGGCTCAACATTCCCGAGCAGTCTTTGGTGCAACGAATGAACAAAGGATGACATTATTGCCATTGCTCGCCTCAGCCTGCACCTCAGCCCTGTCAAAGAACCTGCTGAGATCTTCCTCGAATTGACTCGTGACAACACTCAATCTCTATATATATATATATTATATATATATACGGCACACATGGCACATATTGCAACCGTTTTCGCATTCTCTTGTCACTCTCGCCCACTTTGGGACGTGAAACGGTGTGAAACCCAGAACTCCCGGGCCAATGCAGTGGATGCATTGGATAAGCCGAGCGCCAACAACACGATCTTCGAGGTCACTCCCCGTTCTCGTTGCCGTCATTCTCCAAATAACTCCGCAGAGGCTCTGGCGCGCTGCTCAGCCGCAATACTCGGCCATCGGCCAAAAGAAGCCGCAAATGATAAGCCTCATCAAACATGGTGAACCAGCAGGGTGGATGGGTGAGCAACTGGGTTCTTTGTGGGATTCCTGGAGTGATGAGATCTTTCCCTGGACCTCCAACCACATCCTCGGGGAAGGTGGTTAGACCCCCCAAACCCACCCCGATCAAAGGAGGTAGTTGGAGCCCTATAGGGTTAGTAAATTGGGTTGTTTAAAACAAAACACCAAAAATGCACTCTCTGGCCTCGAGGCCGCAAAGCCTTCCGATCTCCTCACAAAGCATGGCCGGAGTGGCCTCCGGGCTTGTAAACACCTCATGGCCAAACAAGCCGGGGCTCTGGACCCTGGAAAACTCGATACCGAAAGCCACTTTAGTCATCCAAAAAGCAGTTCTCTATGGTTTAAATCTAGCCCTCGATTATTTGCCATCCGATTTGGCTTTTTCTTCTTGCGCCCCGCCACCTCCACCAGAAGCTCTCCGCTCATCCGTGTGGCACAAACCTTGAGCTGCCCGGGGTCCTCGGCGTCCACCTGGGGCCGGTGGTGCGTTCGGCCGCGACAGGCAGCACTAGCAGCACAAACCGCACATCACCTCGAAGTCCATGACTCATGGACTTCATGGTACCGTATGTACCGTGCAGTACCACTGCTGGAATCTGGGTTTTGCCCATTTGTTCATGAATCTTTGTCCATGATTCATCGCTAAAGACAACTGATCGGATGATTAGATTAACTAACCATGACCAACCCTAGAAGTCCAAAGAATATGTTTGGCACCAAAAGTAAAGCAAGTCTTTTTTGGGATGTTGCAAATTTTTACATGGTCTTGAGTCTTGGACTCCCAAGATTAATTCAATGATGTCCATAACGCTTGATATTTTCTTACTGGAGAAGTGGGATTTCGATAGAACGAAATAAAACTAAAACAGGGAATGAACATGAACATTATCTTCCTTGGCACCTCTGGCAGTTTTTTTTTTAACGTTTGTTGATCAAAACATATCAAAACTGAACATTCTTAGTTTGCATTCTCCCGAGAACGCTCAACTGCCCACCTCCAGGCTCACGTTGGCCATGATGCTCCGCGCATCTTCGTTGATCCACCGCTGTCGACAGCCTTTCGCCTGGTCGAAGAGCGCCACATCTAGCTCCTGCGAGATGTGCTGGGCGAAGACCACCTGGCACCGGTGACCGGATCGGGAAAAAAAGGATCCAAACAATCTGGCTGACTGGGTATATAGCTTCGAGAAAGGACTGTGCAATGCAAACAGCCAAGGTTCTACATGGTCCTACTTTAAAGGAGCTCAAAAAATCAGAGCAAGCATCTGTAATTGATTACCCTCAATCCCGGAACTCATCACCCACCCTTTTGTGGGGGATGAACACACACACTCGAGAAGACACACACACTTCGAACTTGGGTTTTCAGTTAACGCAATTGTCTCGTTGGGAAGGAAGGCGATGGAACAGCAAGGTGAAATGTCCAGGCATTTGAAGGTGTTTGAACATAATTGTTTCAATCGCATGACTGCAGCGGCAAACTCAAAGTCAGCGGAAAGCGGCTGAAGGAAGCTGGTTTTTGGGGATTAGCATGTGAAACCACCATGAATCAAATCGTAAGTGGAAAAGCTTGAGTAACAGTTTCTGGTGCAGGTACGTCAGCAAGCGTCCTTGCTGATATCCTCAGGACACTGCAGAGAGCTTTGTTAAGTGGAGCTCTGCGGGCCTGCTCCACTCCCCTGCTCATGTAGTATAGAAAGAGTGGTGGTGGAAAACCCTTTGTCCAGGGTTGGACACACACAGGTCGCCGCGTTCGGCGCTGTTTTCAAAAACCGGTGGCAGGCGTGATAGTTATGCCCCTTTTGGACATATAGATTCACAAGTTCAGCCGCGCCAGCATCAGCGCTGGAGGGTGGAAATGTGTATTTTCGAATGGTGTGAAGTCGTGATTGGATGCCTGATAGAGCCAAGCGCTGGCTCCCGGCAGTGGTGGAATCCCGGATTTTCCAGGGTTGAGAAGGTTGCATGTAGTTGATGGTGCGTTGTGGGAGGTCGATGTTGAAACCGAGGAGATGGAAATCCTCCACCGGTTCTAGTTCCACAGGGTCGCCAAAGAAATTGTGGTGGATAAGGGTTTGGATAGCCGGGTGTTGAAGGAAATGTTCGTTGTGGACAATGAAGCGGTTGTCGACATAGCGATAGTAAGTAAAGTGGAGGTCTGTGTGTTGAAGGAGGTTGTTGTGGATCTGATGCCAGGAGTGCTCAATGAGAGTGATGGCAACGTTGCATAGGGCTGGAGAGAGCTGGGATCCAATCCCGGCTCCTCAGATTTGTTTGTAAGTGTTGTTGCAAGCCCGGAAAATGCATGTGTTGAGGGCGAAAGCCACGATGGTGGTGATGTCGGAAGTCTGGATGGTGCGTTGAGTAGGGTGTTTCCGATGGTGTCTGCCAATGTGTGAGTGGTGGAAAGGATTGCCGGTGGCCTGGACATCCACCGTTAGGGTGTGTGTGGATTGCTGTTGTTGCCAGTGGTGGACGAGGGAGTGGACTGCATCGATGAGTCGGTGCTGGGGGACGGAGTTGAAAAAACCGACCAGGTCATCGTTGGTGGCGTGTAGTGAGATGTCTGGTGGGGTTTGGGTGAGGTAACTGTGAAAGTGGTGCCAAAGCTGGGGAATGGACATTTGGCCTGGATGTTGAGGGTAGAGGTGTTGGAGGATAATGTCAAGGGCACGGCTGGTGATGCGTAGCAGGTTGCCACTTAGTGATTGGAAGTATGATATGATTGTACGGCCTTTTTGCCAGTGCTTCTTCTCTTTGAGGTGGACAACCCCGTAGGGGATGTTGAAGTCTTTTCGGAAGCCCCACTTGTAGCGGGTGCGCAGGATGGAGGGGACTGTGGCGGCCAGGTGGTCGTGGATGTTGGCGGCAGTGATGTAGGGAAGTGGTTCGAAAAGTTCGGGGGATTGCCAGGTGTTCAAGGCTCCAGTGAAGTATCGTCGAGGGCAAAACAGCCGAAGTTGTTGGAGCTCATGATCGGCATGGTGGAGCAATGTGTGTTTGCCCAAATGTTCTTGCAGTTGACGAAGCAGGCGGGCCGTAAAACGGGGTTGCTGCTTGAGGTGTGTGTTATGAAGGCGCCATTGGTGCTCAAGGAAGGGTTGTAGATGCTGAACGAGGGATGGTGGAAGCCCTTGTAGTTTGAGCCATTTGGTGTAGGCCGTCTTGAAAATGAGGAAGTAGCGAGCTTTGCTTGGGTAATAGGTGCTGTTCATATTGGCGTTGAGAAAAATGCCGAGGTGTGTAGGGAGTTGGAGTTGGTCAAGTGTAAGGATGTAGTGGCCGTTGATGGTAGGGGTATCGGGATCCTGCAAGAGGGTGCGCAGGTGATCGCATGCACAGGGAAGGTCTGCTGGATCTGGTGGGGAGTGGAGGGTATCTTCCCATGTGCGGTGGTTGTGCAGGTGAGAGCGGAGGGTTTTGTGGGCGGCTTCTCGCAGTCTGTGGGAGGGGAGGTGGAGGGGAATGGTGAAATGCTTGTGCTGCTGGATGGTAGTACGAAGCCACTGTTGGCAGTGCTTGGTAAAGTCGTCATGGGCCAAGAAGGGCACTGTCAGTGGGATGTTTGGTTTTGGTGGCGTGAGGTTGCGGTAGATCAAGGCTTTGTTGAGGATGTGGAGGGCTCGGCTGCGGCCGGGTTCTTCCAGGTTTGCGGCCATGCGCCGGATTGCATAGACTTCGAGGTCCGTGTGGCGTCCGCTTCGTAGCTCTTTAGCTGCTTCAAAGGAGGCTGCGGTGTGTTTGGTAAGGTTGCGAAGAAGTTGGAGGGCGTGATGCTTAGTGGAGGTGTAGAGGTGTGGTTCTCTGAGGGTGTACTGGCGTTGTCGAAGGCGTCGGAAAAGTCGTTTGTGGGTGGCTAATCTGGAGTAGAAGTGGGCTCTGTGTTTCGCGAACTGCCATCCCTGAGCTTTGAGTTTGAGGTGGTGGGAAATGAAAGGCCAGTTGAGCGGAGGCATCCAGTTTGCGATGTAATGGTGCTCTTGGATCCAGGCTTGGTCGTATGTGTCATGGGAGGTAAGTTGAATAGTGGTGTAGTGGTGGATGTTGTTATGTGAATGCCAATAACGTAGGGAGAGTTCTGCAGAAATGGGAATGTTATTTTGGAGTTGTTTGAGTTTGGCGCGGCGATTATGCTCGCGGTGGGGGATGCCAATAGCTGTGGAGCCAACATAGAAGTGGCCATGCTGATGGTAGCAGCGTTGGGGCTGGTCTGGATTGAAGTGGAGCTTGATGTAGACTGAATTGGAGGAGAGGAAGTTGTGGTAGTGGTAGGTGTGGGGCAAAATGTGGAGCTG